GATTTATAAACCATACTTCCAATTTTATTTTATTTTTCTAACTCTTCTAGTTTCTTTCTTCTATTTTTAACTGAAAAAGTAATCCGATTTTTTGGAAATAAGTTCTGTAAAAAGTAAATATCGGAAATCCAAAAAGTTACTCATCACGAGATTCTATGTGTTGTTCAAATGTTAATTCCCTCTTTTTGCTATTTCCTTTTTTCTTCTACTCAAAATTCCAGTTTCTTTTTGAATATAAAAAGGAGAGGCTAGGATCATGCCCAAAAACTTGGATTTCTCAGTTCAGGAAAAGGTCTCTCTATAGTCTCTACTCATTCGTCTTCTTCTTGCTGATTTGTGCCCATCTCTCTCTCTCTCTCGGTTGTATGCCTTTTCGATTTCACAGTCAAGGGTTTGTCTGATTCTACTTGTTGTACACTTTTTTCTTTTGTTAGATGGAAAGCCAAACGCAACATGAATGTAACAATAAGCAGTGTGACTCTGTGGAAATCCATCATCATTATCACCATGTGGTTGAGATTTCATCAGGAGAGGCAAGCTTGGTAGGTGCAATCAAGAAGACATGTGGAGAAGCGTCTTGTGGATTCTCTGATGACAAGACAATTTCAAGGGATGCCGCAGAACGCAAAGCATCTATGAGGAAGCTGTTGGTGGCTGTTGTGCTCTGTGTCCTCTTCATCACCGTCGAAGTTGTTGGAGGGATCAAAGCCAACAGTCTAGCGATTCTCACAGATGCTGCTCATCTCTTGTCCGATGTTGCAGCTTTTGCCATATCTTTGTTCTCTCTCTGGGCTTTAGGATGGAAAGCAACTCCACGTCAGTCCTATGGGTTCTTCAGAATCGAGATCCTTGGTGCACTTTTCTCCGTCCAGATGATTTGGCTTCTTGCTGGTATCTTAGTCTACGAAGCAATCGCTAGGCTTCACAACGGAAGTGGCGAAGTTGAGGGGTCTCTCATGTTTATCGTCTCTGCTTTTGGTCTTCATGTTAACATTGTTATGGCTGTTCTGTTGGGGCACCAC